CCTTCTCTGCACCCGTTCCAGTTTGAGTTCATCTTTTTTAAACATGGGAGACCAGAACTGCACACAGTACTCTCAGTGTTAAAACCATGCAAAAAATGTTGAGTGTCCCTACTAAGAAGAGTTAAGCTTTCTCTCAAGTCTAGAGATTTCAAGTCAGAGAGATTTTTGTTCCTGAGGCAAAACACTGAAGATTATTTAAAGATACAAAAAATCAAAGAGGAGTGAAAAACAGAGGAAAAATACTGAAAGAAGTTGTAAGGAATATTCTGATTCTGGTAGCATATTAAATAAACATGAAGAGAGAGTGAGTGTATGGTCAGGTCTTTACTTAGGTCAGGTCTTAAGTTATCCAGTAAAATATGACTGTCAAAACTGAATATGTAAGTGAATCTGAGCTGAAGAGAAATTAAAGGTTAACCACTGGAGACTCAATGTTCATGTTTTTTCAACTATACAATATATGCAGAAAATAGATTTTTTTAAAGCTAGCGAGTACAGAATTTATCATCAGCCTGAATTTTACTGGATCCTAATGGTATTGTTTGCTGAATAATTTCAGCTTAAATGTGTCAACAGAAATCATCAAGAGAGGGATTTCTTGACCTGGGGCTATCATTCTGACAATGTTGATTTAGAATCAGAATTCCAGTGCTTAAGTACCCAATTGTGGAAGAGCCTTGCCCATGAGGTTAGCAAGGGAGAAGGCAGAAGGCAGTGAAATATATTCTGCTTTATGATTGGGTCTCCCCTGAGGAGAGAAGCCAAGAGGTTATTTCTCTTGTGAATACCTGGGTGCAATTTCAGCATTCCCCTTGCTGTTGAGACCAATCAATCCCTTATTAAGGTAATGGGGGGGGGGTTTGATGTTGTTTTTTGTTAATTTGTCCAAATTCTGACTCAAAAAAGGCCAAGGGAAAAAATGTGAACTTCTGAGACAAAAAGTATTCTATTCTGTGGTATTGGTATCAGGGCTTTTCCTACAGTAAATCCCAAAGATAACATATTGTCATACTTCCTTAGGGCTCTGAATACTGATCACAGAAGGAAATTTTTTCAAACAGTATATCTGATGTTATCAGTCTCTCTCATATCCTTCCATGTTGACTCATTAATCAATGGCAAAAAGTAAATTTCAGAAATCAATATCCTCGTTTTTGTATTTTGGGTATTGATACTGTGGGGAGAAATGAGTGCTACCCAGAATTATGATCAAGGTCCAAGCCAGACCTCAAAAAAACCTTAGGTCAGAGATTGAAAGAGTTCAGTGAATCTGTATTCTCTTTTTATAAACAGACTGATACATCAGACCAGATTCTCAACTGGTGTAAATCAGCCAGTTTTTACCAGCAGAGTGTGGCCCATCATTACATTGACACAGAAATGGGTTGGTCATCAATGTTTACCTTTCTGGACCGAACTGCTATCCTCCACTTTAGCTTCTTACCAAGACTCCTAGAAGTTCACTCCCAGAAAATCTTTTTAGTTTTCAGACTAGGCTTGAATTTGTTTCTGGACGTATCTGGAGCAGAGTGGGGTTAGATAGACAGACAGACACACACACACACACGAACACACACACATTTCAGTGCACACTTTGTTATGCAGCACACAAAAAGTGTTTGAACTAGTACTTTAAAAGACAAAAATCATGATTTTTCATTTCACTCCATAAAGAATGGAGAATGGTCAGTTTCCCTTGGAGTTGAAAGTCCATGTTCACTTTCTCACTCTCTATAATGAAGTTGTGTTTGGGTCCTTCAGTTTCAAACAATGCAGGGATCTGTCTGTATTAAAAAAACAACCTGTTTTATTGGTTTTTTAATCTTTAAAATATAGGAATTTTAAGTTATGCAAAATGTTTGTTTTTGACACTTAACTTTTAGTCTGGGTTAAAACTACTTGACACTGTCCATCTAAAACATGAAAGAAAGATGAGTTTATTAGTAATCAACAAGATTGTGATACATAGTACCAGATGTAGGAATTTGAGATGTGAGATAACAGTGCAGAGCCTAATTGATTACAATACTTTTGCATTGATTGAGATTTCTTTTGGCTGTATCTTGGCCACCTTAAACCTAACCACTTTAGTAATACTCCTTCGGCTCTTACTAATGTTTTATCTGATTAGTTGCTCAGACCAAGCTGATATTTGTCAAATCAAAAGCAAAAAAAAAAATCTAACTGCCCTGGAAATTTCTGTAACTATCAGCAATTCATGTTTCCTTGTGTTCTATGTGATTACCAATGTTGTTTTCAGTGTGTGTGTGTGTGTGTGTGTTTGAATGTGTTTTTACTAGATGGCTTAGGACAGAGGTAGTCAATAAGCAGACTGAGGGCAAATCCAGACCAACAGACATGACCGGACTCCAGAATCTTTTTATTTATTATTAATTTCTCTGGAGCCTGGACCTTGACTATACTTTGACCAAGAATTTGGACCTTGACAAAAAATAAGGGACTACCCCTGGGCTAGGGGGTTGGTAATGGGGAAAAAACATTTCATTGTTGACAGTTATTTTGAATCAGCCCAGGAATAACGATCAGCAACTCTTTGACAGCTCCTCAGTGTCCCATGTGAAACAAGTGAGGAGCATCAGTGTAGTTTAAGTAAAACTGTAAAATCTTTGGGGGCAGAGCCCATCTTCCATATATCTGCACAGTGTATACCACAATGGAGGCTGAGTTCCTGATTGGGACCTCTAAATGCCACAGCAGTATAAATAAATACTATTAATAAGTTCATAGCCATCAAATATCTACTTTACAAAAGCTACCAGCACAAATGTTGCCTTTAATAGCAAGAGGCCAACCGCTGACTAGGACAGGAAACTGTATTTCCACTCTGACCCCTAGATGACAGCAGGCAGCAAGGGCAAGTTGGCACGGTAGCTTACCTGAGTTATCTCAAATGTGTGGTTAAACAGAGGGTTGTGTTCTCACCTGCTGTCTATATTGCACCTTTCACAAACACTAAGTTCACTTTAAAAGAAAAATAATAATAATGAAAAATATTTTTCTTTTTTACTTGAGCATTTGTTCAGGTCTCTATTTCCCGGGTATTGTATGGGGAGTGATGAGGATCACCGTGCTTGGTGTTGCATCCTTTCTGTAACACTGCCTCTGCAGATCCCTCCCTAAATCATATACCCTGTCACATGACTCCTATAGAATGGCTTTGCATAGGCCTGATCCTGCAAGATGCTGATAAACTTCCACCCCCAATTAATTTCAGCATGTTTTGGCGGCACTCAGCATCCTGCAGGATCAGTTTGCTGCAGAACAACATTCATTGGCAAAAAGCAACAGAGGGTCCTGTGGCACCTTTAAGACTAACAAAAGTATTGGGAGCAATACTTCTGTTAGTCTTAAAGGTGCCACAGGACCCTCTGTTGCTTTTTACAGATTCAGACTAACACGGCTACCCCTCTGATACTTGATTCATTGGCAAGTAACATTTCTTTCTGGACCTCCCCATTCAGTTTCCTTCAACTTTTTGAAACAGAGGTGAAATTTGTGGAGACGTTTCAGTGACGTCTGCTCAGCCTTTATGGCTCCAATTGAGCAAAGCATGTGACTAATATCAGCCCAGTTCAGCAAAGCACGTAGTTAATTTTAGGTATGTAAGAGGCCCCGCTTGCAGTCACTGTCACTATTCATGAGCTTAAATTTAAGCCTGTGCTTAAATGCTTTGCTGAATAGGGATAGGATTATTCACATAATTAAAGTGAAATGCATATTTAAGTGCTTTGCTGAGTTTGTGTGTGTGTATATATAATTTGAATTGCTGTGTGATGAAAGGCTCTATATAAATGTGAAATAATACTTCAATATACTATACTTAATTGGGATGTGCTAATTTAGGATGGCTGTCTTACTGGATGTCTCCCACTAAACTCATTTAGCCCAATGATGGTGAAGTGTGCTGCGTATTTGGACAGAATTACCATAAATGCTACTTCATGGGGATGAATTTAGCTCTTGCCAAGTGGTTAAATGGTGTTTAGCAAGGTGTTTAGTAGGTGTGAAATTCTAAGGACCAGTCTTTTAATACACAAGTTGCTAAATAAGGGTTAAGAGTTAGATGTTCCTGGGTGTTCTAGAAACCTCTGATGGCTTCTGCCAAAGACAGCTACATTCTGGTAGATTCAAGAGAATCTGTGTTCTAGTCAAAGCTCTGCCAGAGACATGCTGCAGGGCTTGGGGTAAACTCATTTAACTTCATTCTCATTACATCTGTGTTACCATCAATAAAAAGGGGATAGCAACATTTACTTTCTTGGGGTGGAGGTGAAGGGGGTTTGTGAAGTTTAGTTCACAGATATTTCTAGAGCATGTTGGGGTCCTTAGATGGAAGAAGTGATAGAATGGCAAAGTATTACTATTATTTATTATTTACCAAATTTGTTTTATTCAGCTAACTTCCACCCTTTCTCTTTCAGGTGAAACCAACCAAAAATTCTGTGTGTTTTGGCGCCCTGCTCTTTCTCTATACAGGTGATTTTTACTTGAACATCAAGTTTCATGAAGACAACTCCAGCAGGGAGCTTCCTCTTTCTTGGTTCTGCCTGCCCAGTGTTCACATTCGTGCTACGGAGCCTGTGATCCAAACTAAACTGTAAATGTACCATATGATATTGGATTAGCCACAGTGCACAGAAACACTTGACATGTCCTCTGCTTGACCCCACTTTGTTTCTTTCCAACCCCAGACCACAGGCCTTTCTTTAGAGGCACAGCTGAACACTTTTAGAATTGGCTGAAGTCATTTGGGCAGCTGCCTTTGCTTATTTGGAAAGGAGTGATGGAATATAATGTACTGGATCTCCCCCCACCCTCTTCCAAAAAGCCTGTGGTAGCCACTAAGGGAAAAAATATTCTCTTCCTGATAGCCAGCCATGCCTCCCCATTGATATCAGTGGATTTGCAGGGGTGTACGTGAAAGCTGAATTTAGCCATGAGCTTGAAGGTCTTAGCTCCAATCTGAATGATACCTAAGGATATATTGTCAGCACTTGAACAAGAGTTGTGTTTCTCCACTAAATTCCCACCACCACCACACTGAATACACCATTTGGGACCTATTTTCTCAGTCAGTTTCTTCCTATGCTTGTTTCTAAACGCTTTGTTTGCTGGGTATATTGGTGTCTTTCTAACTCAGAATAAATGTAAGCCATGCAATAGCAGACCAGTTTTTTTTCTTTCCCACCAGATTCTAAGGAACGCAGCAGCAGTAATGCCTTTTAATTTGTTACTTATTGCAGGAAATAGATTTCCGGTAACTGTATCTCCAGTTCTTCTTGATAGAATAGGCATGATCCCAAAAAGAGCTCTCCGCCCCTCCTTGGTCACAGTGCAGTTACTTCCCTTTGTGCATCAGTAAACAAGAAAAGAAGGAAAGCAAGACAGATAGAAACGTTTCTATTTTTGCCAGAAAGGAGAGAAGCCAAGTATTTGCCTGCCTGTGGGTAGCCTATGATGTCAGAGTGCCACAGGCCTGTTTCAATGGCAGTTGGGAGCCATTTCAAGCATTTGCAGGCCCCTTAAAATGCCACCAAGATGAATCTGCTGATAGTTTTTAAAGCTTTTCACAAGAAATTGTTTCCAAACGTCTACTAATCAGGATTAGACAGGCCAGGCCAGGCCAGGCCAGACTATGGTATTTTCTTCTTTTCTTTGTCGAATGAATAAAATGAAATGTTACGGAATATCTGCTGCAAGATACTTCACTGTGGCTGTAGCTGCCAAATGTACTGTAAATTTGCTTTACTGTGTTGTCTTTTACATAGAAGCTTTGAATAAAGAGGCCCAGGCTTTCCCTAGGTGAAGCACTGATGGTGTCTGATCTGTACGTGAATTTTTCTTTGCTGTGTGAGTCATATTTGTATCTAAACATGCAAATAACCAAATACATATTTTATTCAGATATGATGGCTTTACAGCCCACTCCTACTGGCAAAATTCTCATTGTCTTCAATAGAAACACAATCCTGTCCAGGCTCAATTGAATGATGAATCCTGCAGTTTTTGAATGGCAATAATGCAAAAATATTCTCACTTGAACAGTAGTTTCTAAGCATGAGGGAGCTTTTGCTTCAGGCTATAGTATCTACATTTCCGGTACATTCAAGCAGCAGTGATTCCGTTTGCTCCAAAATTTTGTTTGTCACAACACAGTGAACGTTTGCTTTTGAGTTGGAGGAAACATCTATCTAGCGCTTTAGGATTTCAGAGGAAAAGGTCTCTACAGTTCAAATGACTGTCTAAAAAGCCTGTTTGGAACGACAAATTCTTCTGTCAGCTGCAAAGGGGTGCAATGTCCTGTGACAGCAGTAATAGTTCCACAGCTTTGTACTGCTCTTCTTAGGGCAGGAAAGCCTGACAGGGAAGAGCCTCTGAGTGACTCGAGCTTGGCACCTTCTTTACGTTGGCAGAGCTCCAACGAACAGAGCTGTGCGGTGGGGCCAAACTTGCTGCATACCATCGCCTGCCTATGTGGGTGTTAAGGGAAGAAGTGAGGTGAGTGGGAATTCAGTTTCTCCAGAAAGGCTTTGTTATTCTTGCATGCGCCCATACTGCATAATGTGATCCAATAATATTACAGTTCCACCACACTCTAAATTGAGATTAATTCAGTAATCCCCAAAAGATATTCTTCGTGCTACAGTTGCTGCTAGGAATAAAGCTAAGGCTTTACGAGGACCACATTTATCTGGGTGTGAGACAAAAATATTGATGGATACCCTAGCTCTGAGACTGTTAATGGAAGATTTTCTCTCTCTCTCTCTCTCTCTCTCTCTCTTCGAGTAGAGGATGTTGTACTGTGAAACCTGTACTGATGTGCAATCCTCTGGTATAATGACCAGGGAAATAGCACCATTTTACCATTAAAGGGCTAATCCAAAGCCCATCCAAGTAATTGGAAACACTCCTGTCAAATTCGATGGGCTTTGACTCAAGCTCTAACAGCTGTCATTGTAATAAAAAAAAGCTACATGTTTCTCAACCTTGGCTTCCAAAATGGTGTTTTAATTCTGCAGTATGTGCTCACTAACATAACATATATATATGATAATACTCTGCCACATGTTAACTTTGGCACTTCTAATATCTTTCCCAGCTTTCTTACACGTTTACCTATCAGGGTAAGAAAGCTGAAATGTCACACTGTGGCGTAGTCTTAATGCTGAGGCTTACCTGTGACGAGCGTTAAGTGGTGATGTCGTTTTGTGGGAATATATTCAGAACGAGCTCATTTTTTGTGTTTAAAATAGAAAATTACAACTGTCAGAATTGGGGTCCAGTGGTTTGAATAAAGGACTATGCTTATCTGATCTCCTGTCCTTTTCTAGAAATGCAAGCTGATTTTACTTCTCCTTGAAACATCCAGCTATTAATTCAAACATAATGAGCCAAATTGTGCTTTGTTATACAACTGTAAATCTGATAGGACCGCACTTAGTAATTTAAACCTCAGCTCCTGAGAGCAGAAATTGGCCCAATACACTGGAGAAACTTAAGACGTGTAAATTCAACTATGCAAATACATATCTAGCTTCTGTTATTTATACATCTGCCTCTCTCTGCTGCATGTAAGTCTTGGTAGTGTCCCTGTATGACTTTACTGGTAGTAATAATGTATCACGTGGTGCCACAAGCACCACCATGTCCCTACAGAGTGTCTGGGTCTGGAATTAATATAATTAATCTTTGTCTTCTAAGGTAAATTTAGTGCTAATCAAAGGTGCCAGATTCACAGTGCTGTTCCTGTTTGTCTCTCCATAAAGCAGGTACCGCATGAATGTTAGCAGTGCAAGCTTCCTAACGCTGCCTTGCCAATGCACCTTAACCCTAAATTGGAGGGAAGGCCTTTAGAGGTGAGAGGTTACTTCCATCTCCATGCCCATTCCATCCTCAGCCTGTCAACTGGGACTGCTGAGCTGGGTGTTGAATAGTAGGGCCGGCCTGATGGTGATTCTTGTGGTGGGACGGATACCTCTTCATTAGACAATATACTGAAACCATCAGCTCATTTCAGATATCTGACAGCTGCCTGGCAGCCTGTCAATAACTTTGTTACTATGGTCCTGGTTCAAGGTACTTAAGGACGTGCCTAACTTTAACCATGTGAGTAGTCCCATTGTCTTCAATGGGAACACTCGGTTATTTAAAGTTAGGCACCTTGTTGAACCAGCACCTAAATGAGTGGTCTGTACTTGAAATAGTGATCATGGGGATAAAAGAGCACATGTCCCATTCCTGAGCTCACGGGCCAGCCACTTCCCCTGATACCACTGGCTCCAAGTAAGTGAGAGGCAAACTCGCAGCCACACCAGGGCTGCTCGCTCTGCTGCGGTGGTGAGTCAGTCTTTTGATGACTGGGTCCGGTGGCTTGCGCCCGCCCACCCCCGGAACCTTAATCGGTGCTGCAGTGAGTCGGCACTGAATAGAGCCTGCCGTGTGTTAGCCCTCTGGCATGCAGCAACAACCTACCCCCGAGCAGAGCCTGGGTCAGATGACCCCAGGCTCAGGGATGTCCACAACCCCAGCAGAGCTGCAGATCAGTCTGAGCAACAGCACTACCCTACCAGGAAACCTCCTGGTGCCCCCAGAAAGAATCCAGCGACTCCCAGCCTGCTTCTGCTCCTTGCCCAAGTCCTGTCCCAGTATCATCCTTGCCTTGCACTAGCCTCGCTCCAGCCTCATCACCGACCCGCTCTAGCCTTGCCTCTGCCTCCTGATCCTCCCCCTGCCCAAACTCTCAGGCTGACTATCCGGTTTCAACCTTCGGCCTGTATCTGGACTCCAGTTTCAGTATCAACTTGGCTTGTCTGTGGACTCTGACCACAGTTCTGATTCTGGTTTGGCTATGGATTCTGAGCTCCATTTTGACACCAACCTGTCCCCAGACCTCGATTCCAGGACCACCCTTGGCTCAGGCCCAACCCGACAACTAGCTGTGACGCACACTTCAACCACTAGGCCTGATTATCTGAGGCAGTACCTGACACCGTTTGTGATGGTGCCAGTAGCATGAGTCTTATCAAAGTGCTGGCCTTGCCATTTTTTATATTCTGGGGATTAATTTATTCATTCTTCAGGTGAAGATGTTTTATACCCCTTTCATGTACACACATCAACCATAGTCATGAAGGTTTGTGGGTGTAAAGCACATTAATAAAGTTGGGAATGTCCAAGACCAATACAGGTTCGAATGAGGATTCGAGTGGAAGAGGAAAATTGAGACAGAGGCAGATTGTAATTCAAAACAGGTGGCCGTTTATTAATGGGGGATGAATCACAACTTGGGCTGGGGAGGAGCACCTCTACCAACTAACAATACAAATTCAATTGAAATAGGAACAAGTAACCAACCAAAAATATCACCAGAGCAGTAATATAAAACAGTCTATGTGCACTTAACAACAAGGAATCAGATAATCTACAACCAATTATTTACTGACAAACCAGAACAAACATACAAAACTGAGTAAACTGTAACAATTCGTCCTCTATACACTACACATGAGATTTGGTACCAAGTAATAAAGAAAAAAGACCTAACAAACAGAATATCTACAAAAATTAATATGTACATACCACACTCCAGGCGCAGCTGACCAGCAGTACAGACACCAGGGACATGATGAGATGTAACCCGAGATGACACGACACGAGCCGGCTAAGTCCGGAGGAGATCCTGGCTGAAAGGGTGATCAGGCCTTCCAGCTAACAAGCGGACACTCCTGCTGATTTAGGCAAGGGACATAATTTTATTCGAAGACCCTTGCTCGTGCTAGCATCTGATTGGTTCCCCGCTCCTACACCAACCAGGCTCCGAGCTGGTGCCCCCTACGTAAACAGATACTGCACACGGCACGCTAAGCTTATGCACACGGCACGCCGGAATTGTAGCACACGGTACCAATGTGACCCACAATTGACCAGGCGGAAGATTCAAGAATGGTCACACGGCCCCAGTGCATTGCACACGACACCAAGGTGCTGCACACGGCACCAAGGTGCTGCACACGGCACCGATTTGACCTTCTGACCGACAATTGGCCATCCAGATGCCATGACAGAGCATAGGGCTGCGACAGGGAAATCAACGTATACCAAAAGGCTATGACCACAATTACATTACCTCCATGCTAGGCGGTAATTACATTACCTCCATGCTGCCCCTACCTTGCCTAGCTGGGATTCCTCTTCTTGCAGTCGTCCTGCTTCCAGGGCAGGCCTGAGAGCAGCTGAGTTGGTACTCATCTTTTGTCAGCTCTGCATGGTCCCATTCCCTGCAATACCCCAATCCCCAGAGCTGAATTGAAGGACACAAAACAAAAACATAACATTGTACAGACGCTTCCCGGGTTACGCAAACCCGACTTATGGAAAAAGTAAGGTCCGTAAGCTGCTGCTTGGTTTTTTTTTTTTTTGCGTAATTGTCGGGTATACGTCCCCGACTTACGCAAAATTTGACTTACAGACGTTCCAGAACGCCTTGCGTATTAAAGTGGCTTACATTTTATAAACTAGTTATCCCTGGAAACAAGACAAAGCATTAGTAAATGATAGCTGTTATAAGCATGTTATAAACATAAGTAGTGTGCGCTACAGATGGTTATACACACATGAATAGAGGGTGTTATTGATTACAAGTAACTCTAGAGACCAACAGGTCAATAACAATATACAACACCTGATTTACCAATCATTTAAACAGCTATTAAGCATTTATTAATCATTTATGAATGGACCCTAAATATGAAGTGTGACCTTAAAAGTGTGAAACGTAGGACTTCATAACATTTTTGTTTTTCCCCCA